GATGGAGGCACATTGAAGACCACTGGACCCTTTTGAGAGATGGGAACACTGAAGCCTAAGGACGAGAGTCACTTTCCCCCTTGACCTGTTTTTTATACTCCTAACGGGCCTGTGATGGAGGCACATTGAAGACCACTGGACCCTTCTGAGAGATGGGAACACTGAAGCCTAAGGACGAGAGTCACTTTCCCCCTTTCCCAAGGGCAGGGCTGAGTCCGAGTCCAAAGGCCACCCTCACCATTTGAGATCAGGAAGCTACGTGGCCACTCTGGGGTCTGAGGGCACAGTTCAGTTCCTGCGATAGCTCTTGCTGGCTGCATGAACTTAGGCCAGGACTTCACCTCCCTGAGCCTCAGCTCTCTTGCCTGTGCAATGGGAATATTAGAGCCTACCTCCTTCGGCTGTGTGAGACTTGATGAGATGGGGCCTGGGAGACACCCAGCTTGGTCCCTGGCACTCGGCACACTTCCATGTTGGGGCTCATGCAGAGGTTGGGAGAACCCAGTGTGGGAAATGGCCCACACCCCCAGCCTGGCCTCACACATGCAGCAGGAAAGGTGCCCACCAAGGCTGAGCCCAGACTCCAGGCCTGTAGAGACGGCCGCACACACACCTGGCTTCATCTGCACCTACCCAGCATAGGGCTGGCTTGGAGTTGGCCTGAGAGAATGGGGCAGCAACCTATGTTCAAATGCTGGTGCTGCCACAGTCCTGCTGGGTGACCTGGGTGAATCCCTTCCCTTTTCTGGGCCTCTGTCTCCCCATCTAGCCCCAGGATACTGGGTCTTTCCACTACCCAGCTGACACCCACAGCACTGGGCTGTGAGGACAGGGAGTAGCTGGTGCCCCAAAACCTTTGGCCATCTCCACATCATGACCCACAGCTGGTGCTACCCTCAGGCCTTTCTGTAGATGCTACCAGGGACTCTGGCCTCACCACTCTCTGATCCAAGACCCTCCATGGCTCCCAAGTCCCTTAGGATAAGTTCCCCTCAGCCCAGATCATCTGGCCCTGCACAGGCCTGGCCCTGCTTCCCTCTCACCCTCTGCTCCAGTTCCAGGGACCAAACTCTAGTTCCCGGAACGCACCATGCTCTGGCCTACTTCTGGACCTTTGCACAGTTCACCCCACCTGGGATGCTGTCTGGGTTAACTCAACGAAAATAAATTAAGTACCCACCTGATAGAGCTTGGATATGTTGCCCCCAAAAACTCATGCAGAAATCTGATCCCCAGTGTGGCAATGTTGGAAACTGATTGAGTCATGGGGGCAGGTCCCTCATGAATAGAGTAATGCTCTCCCTAGGTGGGGGGATTAATGAGTAAGTTCTCACTCTATTAGTTCCCACGAGAGCTGGTTGTTTAAAAGACCCTGGCACCTCTACTCTCTCTTGCTTCCTCTCACTATGTGATCTGCTTGTACCCGCTGGCTGCCTGCCACTTTCCACCATGAGTAGAAGCAGCCTGAGGCCTGTGCCAGATGCAGCTGTCCCAGAATCGTAAGCCAAATAAACCTCTGTTCTTTATAAATTACCCAGTCTCAGGTATTTCTGTTATAGCAACACAAATGGACTAATACACCATCCCAGTGGCAAAAAAAAGACATATGTGTCCCTGCCATTGCAGAGCTTTCAGTCTGGTGGGAGAATGTATAATCGGGACATGGTTCATGATCCTCTGGTCATTGTAGATATTGGGCCAATGTCTGTCTCTTCCTTCTACACTGCAGGCTCCATGAGAGTAGAAAAGGGTCTCTTTACACCCCACTCTGTCCCCTAAGCCCAGCACAGTGCCTGGCACTTAACTGGGCTCAAAAGCTACATTAAATGAACAGATGAAAGAAGCAAGATTCAGTGTGATGAGTGATACACAGATGCGCAGAAGCATTCACAGGGGACTAGACCTTGCCAGATGCTCCCAGGCTCAGGCAAGTCCCTCATCAAACCTGCACCATGCTGCTCACAACTGCCAGGTTCCTTCTCACTTGTTGGTTTGTGAGCAATCCCAGAAGCCATAAAGGTGCTGAGGACTTAGCCAAGTCCCTCCCCCTCTCTGGGCCTTGGTTTCCCTATTATAAAATAGAGGTTTTTCATAGTGCAGGAGTGCAGGGACATATCAGGCCTGTTCACCATTCTAAACCCAGAGCCAGCCCAGGGCCTAGCACTCAGGAGGTGTTCAGTGGATACTGGCTTGAATGAATGAATGGATGGATGGTGGGCAGGAAAGCAGGTAGGGCCCAGCACCTGGCAGGAATGCCCTACACTCTGTATAACCCAGAACACCCTGCCAGCGCCAAAGTTCTCTGGCACCCAGCCCTGGGGCCCTCAGCAGGGCCAGGTTCTCACATCCCTGCCTAAGATATCGGAATGAGCAGGCCCTTCCTGAGGCACTCCCCTTCCTGGGAAGGGTCCTGGGAAGGCAGGGTAGCATTACTTGCAGGTATTTATTGAATGTTTACTGTGTGGGGGCACTGCGCTCAGCACTTCTCATGCCTCCTGTTATTTGACTCTTACATCATCACCACAAAGTAGGCACTGTAATTAGTCCCACTTTACAGATGAAGTAACTGAGGCACCAGGAGGTACTTGCACAAGGCCTCAGCCTGAACTGGAGCCCAGATACGTCTGACCCCAAGGCCCAAGCTCTGCACCACTCTTTTAGACCGCGTCCAGAACTGTCGCTAATGGACTTTCCAACTGGAAAACCCTGGTTTTCAAGAGGAGTGTCTGCTGGGAAGCTCTGGAAGTCAAACTCCCGGGGGGCTGCCTGGCTTCTCACCAAATCCCCTCTTCTTGTGCAGCCATGCCCTGCTTAGGGCGTGGCACAAGTACTCAAAAGCCTGACCTCGGCTTGCACACTCGCTGCAACGGGGAGCTCTTTCTCTTACAAGCAGCCCAAAGCACCGTTTGAAGGAAACAGGCACTCTCTGCACGCCGGGGGTGCGGCCTCCCCGGCTCAGGGCAGGGCGGGGAAGAAGGGCCAAGGTCCAGGTCAATGATCCTTTCGGCTTGCTGTGTGAGTCGGCCAAGCAGCTGGAGCCAGGACCATGGGATGGCCTGAGTGCTGGGGGAGATGGTGACTCAGAACCCACCAGAGAGCCAGGAAGGCCCCCTGCCCCCACCTCAGCTGTGCTCACTCCCAGCCCGGGTTTGTCTGGGTCACCCGCCCTGAGTTTCCTCAGGCACTGCCATTATTAGCCTCTGAGAAGCAGGAGGTGTGAGGAGTGGGCCATGAGTTTCCCGGAATAGTTCCCTGGGACAGGGCAGCCAACCCGGGTCTAGGTTGCACTGCCCCCTCCCAAATAGGCAGAGAGGCAAAGTCCCTGAAACACAGGCTGTCAGACTCCAGAGTCCTCTCACCTCATGGAGAGAGTTCTCAAGGAAGTGAGGATGAGGAACTGCAAAATGAGAGGGAGTTATCCAGGGTGGGGTTTTCCTGGCAGAGAGAACAGCATAAGCACGTGTCCTGAGGCAGGAGAGTGGCTGGATGAGGTGGGCAAGAGAGAGAGGGGGTGAGGCACTGGGGAGGGGAGGGGAGGTCGCAGGGGCCTAGCCCCCCCAAGCTTTGAGGGCATCGTTGGTGGTGAGGACAGAGGGGAGCTCTGAAGGATGGGTTGATGGTTTAGTTTTGTTTTTGTTTTTTTAATTAAAATATAACATTCATACAGAAAATTCTAGAAATCAAGCTTGATGTAGTTTCACAACCTAAACACTAAATCAAGAACCAGGACCCCAGGAGCCCCTGACACCACCTCTAGTCAGCCCGGGTGTCTTCTAACTTCTATCACCACCCATTAGGTTTGTCTGGGTTTTGTACTTTCTGTAAGCAGAATCCTACAGTGTGTTTTTGTGTGTGGCTTCTTTCACTCAGCATTATGGTTGTGAGTTATCCGTGCTGTGGCCTCTCGTTGCTGTGTGGTGTTCCACAGTGTGAACACGCCATAGCTTATTTCCCATTCTCTCTCTTTTTTTTTTTTTTTTTTTTTTTTTT